TACCCATACCCCTACCCCCCTTCCCTCTACCGTCTACCGCCTTCCCTCTATCCTCTACCGCCTACCGCTACCCTCTACCTCCTACTCTCTCTCTCTCTCTCTCTCTCTCTCTCTCTCTCTCTCTCTCTCTCTCTCTCTCTCTCTCTCTCTCATGAGATAACTTAATTAGTACTATAATGCATGCACCTCATAGCACGAGAAAAATGCACCTCATAATCATAAATTTTATCTACAACTCATACATGAGAAGAAACGTCTTTGGAAACTATAGAATAAAAAAGCGTTATTGCCAAGCGATCCATTGTTACCCTGATGAGGATGGATGTTCGATTAGGGACTATGTTTAATAACTATTTGTCATGGGGGGAAAAGTGGTGGTCTCTTATGGATGTGGCAATCTTTGAGTGGTGTGCTTTCTTACGAAAGGGTGAAACAACTTTCTTCGTGTGTATGAAAATTATCGAGGCATTGAAGACAATCACTTGCTTTAGTGGTCAGTAGATTCTTCTTGTCGAAGTATGATACATTGTTTTCTTCTACGACGGACAGGTATTCCCATTTGTTGAATGTCTAGCAAATGAGAGAGATCTCGAGAAATAATGTTCTTCATCAAGATGGAGAAGTCAAATTGCCACAAGGTGTAATCTTATTTTAAATGAAAATAGAATGTCATATATAAAGGTTCCTAAAAAAGCGTAAATGATTTGTCCTAAGAAAATATCCTAACAGTGGATTATGTTCGATGAGCTTTTGTGAAATGTTTGCGCGCACACGTACACACACACAGACACACACGCGCGCACACAAATACACAGACACAATAAAAATCAAATTCCTCTACCTCTACCTCTACCTCTACCGCATACCCTCTACCTCTACCCTTTACCCTCTACTGCCTACCCTTTACCCTCTACCGCCTACCCTCTACCTCCTACACTCTACCGCATACCTCTACCTCTACCCTCTACCCTCTACCGCCTACCCTCTACCGCCTACCCTCTACCGCCTACCCTCTACCGTTTACCGCCTACCCTCTACCCTCTACCACCTACCTCTACCTCTACCCTCTACCGCCACCTCTACCTCTACCCTCTACCTCTATCACATACCATCTCTACCCCATACCCTCTACCTCTACCCTCTACCGCCTACCCTCTACCGCCCTACCCCTCTACCGCCTACCCACTACCGCCTACCCTCTACCGCCCTACCCATCTACCGCCAACCCTCTACCTCCTACCCTCTACCCTCTATCGTCTACCCTCTACCACTTACCGCCTACCTCTACATATACCCTCTACCCTCTACCTCTACCTTTACCCTCTACCTCTACCTCTACCTCTACCTCTACCTCTACCTCTACCTCTACCTCTACCTCTACCTCTAACCTTTACCCTCTACCCTCTACTTCTACCTCTACCTCTACCTCTACCTCTACCTCTACCTCTACCTCTACCCCCTACCTCTACCTCTACCTCTACCCTCTACCTCTACCCTCTACCCTCTACCTCTACCGACTACCCCTACCTCTACCTCTACCCCTACCCCTACCTCTACCTCTACTTCTACCCCTACCTCTACCCTCTACCTCTACCCTCTACCTCCACCTCTACCGACTACCCCTACCCCTACCTCTACCTGTACCTCTACCTATACCTCTACCTCTACCTCTACCTCTACCTCTACCTCTACCTCTGCCTCTGCCTCTGCCTCTACCTCTACCCCTAACCTTTATCTCTAACTCTACCCTCTACCTCTACCTCTACCTTCTACCCCTACCTCTACCCTCTACCTCTACCCTCTACCTATACCTCTACCGAATACCCCTACCCCTACCCCTACCCCTACCTCTACCTCTACCCCTAACCCTACCCCTACCTCTACCCTCTACCCCTACCCTCTACCGCCTACCGCCTACCCTCTACCGCCTACCCCTCTACCCCTACCGCCCAGCTCTCTACCCCTAGCCATACCTCTACCCATACCCCTACCCCCTTCCCTCTACCGTCTACCGCCTTCCCTCTATCCTCTACCGCCTACCTCTACCCTCTATCTCTACCGCCTACCTACTATACCGCATACCCACTACCTCTACCCTTTACCCTCTACTGCTTACCCTCCCCCTACCTCTACCCCTACCTCTACCTCTACCCTCTACCCTCTACCCCTACCCTCTACCGCCTACCCATATACCCCCCCTACCGCCTACTTATCTACCCCCCTACCGCCTACCCATCTACCCCCCTACCGCCTACCCATACCCCTACCCCCTTCCCTCTACCGTCTACCGCCTTCCCTCTATCCTCTACCGCCTACCGCTACCCTCTACCTCCTACTCTCTCTCTCTCTCTCTCTCTCTCTCTCATGAGATAACTTAATTAGTACTATAATGCATGCACCTCATAGCACGAGAAAAATGCACCTCATAATCATAAATTTGATCTACAACTCATACATGAGAAGAAACGTCTTTGGAAACTATAGAATAAAAAAGCGTTATTGCCAAGCGATCCATTGTTACCCTGATGAGGATGGATGTTCGATTAGGAACTATGTTTAATAACTATTTGTCATGGGGGGAAAAGTGGTGGTCTCTTATGGATGTGGCAATCTTTGAGTGATGTGCTTTCTTACGAAAGGGTGAAACAACTTTCTTCGTGTGTATGAAAATTATCGAGGCATTGAAGACAATCACTTGCTTTAGTGGTCAGTAGATTCTTCTTGTCGAAGTATGATACATTGTTTTCTTCTACGACGGACAGGTATTCCCATTTGTTGAATGTCTAGCAAATGAGAGAGATCTCGAGAAATAATGTTCTTCATCAAGATGGAGAAGTCAAATTGCCACAAGGTGTAATCTTATTTTAAATGAAAATAGAATGTCATATATAAAGGTTCCTAAAAAAGCGTAAATGATTTGTCCTAAGAAAATATCCTAACAGTGGATTATGTTCGATGAGCTTTTGTGAAATGTTTGCGCGCACACGTACACACACACAGACACACACGCGCGCACACAAATACACAGACACAATAAAAATCAAATTCCTCTACCTCTACCTCTACCTCTACCGCATACCCTCTACCTCTACCCTTTACCCTCTACTGCCTACCCTTTACCCTCTACCGCCTACCCTTTACCTCCTAACCTCTACCGCCTACCTCTACCCTCTACCCTCTACCGCCTACCCTCTACCCTCTACCGCCTACCCTCTACCACCTACCCTCTACCCTCTACCGTTTACCGCCTACCCTCTACCTCTACCCTCTACCGCCACCTCTACCTCTACATCTACCTCTATCACATACCATCTCTACCGCATACCCTCTACCTCTACCCTCTACCGCCTACCCTCTACCGCCCTACCCCTCTACCGCCTACCCTCTACCGCCTACCCTCTACCGCCTACCCATCTACCGCCTACCCTCTACCTCCTACCCTCTACCCTCTACCGTCTACCCTCTACCACTTACCGCGTACCTCTACCTATACCCTCTACCCTCTACCTCTACCCTCTACCTCTACCTCTACCTCTACCTCTACCTCTAACCTTTACCCTCTACCCTCTACTTCTACCTCTACCTCTACCTCTACCTCTACCTCTACCTCTACCTCTACCTCTACCCCCTAACTCTACCTCTACCCCCTAACTCTACCTCTACCTCTACCTCTACCCTCTACCTCTACTGACTACCCCTACCTCTACCTCTACCCCTACCTCTACCTCTACTTCTACCCCTACATCTACCCTCTACCTCTACCCTCTACCCTCTACCTCTACCTCTACCTCTACCCTCTACCTCTACCGACTACCTCTACCGACTACCTCTACCGACTACCTCTACCGACTACCGACTACCTCTACCCCTACCCCTACCCCTACCCCTACCCCTACCCCTACCCCTACCTCTACCGACTACCTCTACCGATACCTCTACCTCTACCGATACCTCTACCCACCCCTACCCTCTACCAAATACCTCTCTCTCTCTCTCTCTCTCTCTCTCTCTCTCTCTCTCTCTCTCTCTCTCTCTCTCTCTCTCTCTCTCTCTCTCTCTCTCTCTCTCTCGAAACTGCTTACCCTAAAATCAGGTCAGCTCGGAACTTAGTTACAAAAAAGATAGGAAGAACAATCAACATCACAACAGTGTTCATGGCACGAGTGATAATACAAACACTTTTTCAATCACAATACCCAATTGTAATCAATAGGTGATAATTAAACAAGATATAAAAATGAGGGATTATAATCCTAAAATTGATTAATAGAGAGGGGTAGGTGATAACCTTTTTAGGCCGTCGTGACGGCGACATACAAAGAAGGAAGGGTGGAAACGGCAAGAAGTGGAAGAATTAGAAGCGGGGCTATATGTTTGCTTGCATCTCTTGCATATCTTTGAACAATTTGATAACTCCTCTCTCTTCTTCTCCATCTCTCTTTCCCAACTTTCCCCCTCTTGCAAGAATATAAGCATCAAACAGAATTAGGCTTAAGTTATAATCTACTCTGAAGCCAAACTCAATTTTAATCAAGAACTCCAACACACTAAAATCTTATAACCCCTAGTGGTCCACCAAATGTGAAATCAAAAATTCATTACAACTGAAAACAGAAAAAGAAAATTCTAATCACACAACCAAAATAGAAACTTTTTTATGAACCCCTAGCTTTCCTTTCTAATCACAAGAAAGCTTGAATTTTGAAAAACAAAAAAACAGAATCGCACGACAGAATCACACGACCAAAGCATAACAACCTCCGAAATTGTTTTCTAAATCCCTAGTCTGAAAAAACTAAACAGAATCACACCCATTTCCACAAATCACAAAAACCACAATAAAAAACCCTAAATTGAATTAAAAAAAACATTCATAAGTGACAAACAAACGTCAAATTCGCAACAACAAACCCGAAACCAACATGCAACAAACGAATCTTGTTACCTCTAAAAATGGCCACAACGTTTGAACTCCCTCTCCAATTTATCAACCAATTTCTTCAACCTCTGCAACAACAAAAAAAATAGAAACTTTCGCTTAATTCACTAAATTCATGCATCGATTACACAGAACAAAAAAAAAGATTGAAATTTTGAAAGAAAACGAATACCGCTTCAAAATGAGAAATGAGAGAGTGAGAAGAAGATGAAAGAGTTTTATTATGAGAGAATAAAACTCTTCAGAAATGAAAAATAAGAAAATTGAGTCACCGAGTGACTCATGAACAAACTCAATAACGCGACATTGCCACTCGCTACATTGCACTTTCGCATTTTTCGTTCCTTCGGTGGGACATATGGAGGAAAATAACCGTTCATAGTTCTTGATTAGAACAAAAAGGAAAATCACCTCAGATTCAATCTCACTCGTTCAGAGTTAGATTGGAAAATTAGAATTTTTCTTTACTTTTATAAAATAAAATATAAAGTGATATGCATATTCTTGAAAATTGTAATGTGTCAGAGTTATTATTGTAAAATGCTTTATGTTATGAATTTTTTATTATATTTATAATTATATTTACTTTTTATTTATTAATATAAAATAACACAAGAAAATATGGAACCTTGTATATATTAAAATATTAAAATATTAAATTTCTTGATTTAAATGGTTACTCTGCAAACAATTTCAAAGTCAGTTGGAATATTGTGAAAGAGGATGTCATAATTACTGTCAAGGATTTTTTTGATAGGGACAAGTTTTACAAAGCCTTCAACTGTACCCTTGCGTCCCTTATCTCCAAGTTTGACTCTGTTTCCTCTGTCAAGGACTATAGGCCCATTTCAGTTTTCTCTACTGTTTATAAAATCATCTCTAGAATCATGACTAAAAGATTGAGTAGAGTGATTGGCAGTATTATTAGCCTAAATCAGACTGCAGTCATCCCTGGGCAGCAAATCCATCACCACACCCTACTTGCATATGAACTTATAAAGGTGTATAGTATGAAAGGTGGTCCTCCTCCTCGTGTTATGATCTAGTTGAATATGGAAAAAGCGTACGACATGGTGAGCTGGAAAGCGCTGGAGCTGATTATGCAGGAGCTTGGTATCCCCAATATCTTCATCCATTGGATTATGACAACAATATCTAATACCTCCTATAGATTTTCTGTTAATGGTTGCACTACTGACTTATTGATTGCCAATAGAGGAATTCGTCAAGGGGATCCAATGTCTCCCTTTCTCTTCTCTTTTATTATGAAATATCTCTACAGATGCTTGGCCCTTATGCAGCTTAATTCAAATTTCAACTATCATTCTAAGTGTGAAAAGCTCTAGTTGACTAACCTCATGTTTGCGGATGATGTTCTCTTGTTTGCAAGAGGGGACATTATCTCTGTTAAACTTCTCCTCAATGCCTTCAATAAATTTTCTAAGTCCACAGGTATGTTGGTCAATGTTAGTAAGAGTAAAATTTACTTTGGTTCAGTTAATTCTAGGACCATAAATCAGATCCTATCTTGGTCTAATTTCAAGGAGGGATCTCTCCCTTTTAGATATCTTGGGATTCCTCTAACGTCCAGGAAGCTTAGCTGCAATCATTACTTGATTTTGGTGGATAAAATCTTGGCCAGAATTAGCCACTGGTCAGCAAGACTCCTCAGCTATGCAGGGCGAATTAAGTTGGTAAATCTATATCTTTTGCCATTGTTAATTTCTGGTTAATGATTCTCCCTCTTCCTAAAGTTGTCCTCAAGAGAATTGATCTTATTTTCCAGTCCTTTATATGGTCTGGAAAGGATGTTGTCAACAGACAGAATTTGGTTGCTTGGGCTACAGTTTGTAAGCCTGTTAAGCAAGGGGGTTTAGGTATCATTGATCTCTGTATCTGGAATAAATGCGCTATGCTAAAATTGCTCTGGAATATTTGTGCCAAGTCTGACAGTCTTTGGGTGAAGTGGGTTCACGCATACTACTTGAAGGATTATAACATCATAGAGGCTAAGGCAAAAGCTTCTAGCTCTTGGATTATGCATAAAATCTTGTACCAGAGGACCTTCATTCAGTCTAATCCCCGTCTCTGGTATGATTTGCTTTCTAAGGGTTCCTTTAGCATGCGGTGCTGTTATTTGTCGTTGGTGGATACGCATTTTGTCTCGTGGTATAAGTTGTTGTTGAACAACCCAACCAGGCTCAGAGCTTTGGTGATTTTCTGGTTGGCGTGCCATAATAAGCTTGCTACAAAAAGTCGCTTATGCAGATTTGGTTTCATCACGGACAACAATTGTTGTTTCTGTCCTAAAATGGAAACTGCTTCTCACCTCTTCTTTGAATGTGTGAACATTAGGAGGATTTGGTGTGAGGTGCTTGCGTGGATCCAAATTCATCATCATTTTCCTAAAGCTTGGGAGGAGGAGTTTGAATGGATCACCAAGAGTGGCAAAGGTAAAGGGTGGAGAGCCTGCTTGTTTAAACTTGACATTGCTGAAACTATTTATGGCGCTTGGATTTATCGTAACATCGCGTGTTTTGGTTCGGGATTAGATTTGAATCATATGATCAAAACTATTATAGATAACCGTTTTTAGGGGATGTCATTGTAAAGCCTTACAAGGTAGAATTATCAGATTAATGCTTCCATAGTTTCATTTGTTGTTGTTGATTGGCTGGATCCTTGCGATCGTCGTGTATCCTTCTATTTTTTGGTATAATACAAGTCTTTATTCCAAAAAAAAAAAAAACAATTAATAATAAAAGTGAGGCTATTAAAGTAGAGATGGCAATGGGGTGGGGTGGGGATGGGTTTAAACACACCTACACCCGCACCCATCACACATACCCAGATTCACCCATGCCTTTAAAATTGGTCGAAGCTAATATTTGTTCTTCTGTCTCCGTCCTTAATAAAAAACGGTTTTCTCCATACCCGTTCTACACCCGTTTGAATAAAATATTAATTTTTTAAAATTTATACTTTTTTTCAATAAAAATAAAAATTAATAATTAAACTAAATAATTAATTATTTTAAAATAATTTTTTATGTTTGATATTTTTATTTAAATTGTATTTTTTAAAAAAAATAGATAATAATTATAATAAACATGATATTATAACATTAAAAAGTGTAAATGAATAATAAAACTATTAAAAATAAATTAAATTTAGTTGGTAGGTGCGTAGTGGATGCGGGTGCAGGACGTGTACTAGCATCACCCGTCTCCGCACCCGAAAATCGAGTTTTTTCCACATCTGTACTCGCTCCGTTAAATCGAGTTTTCCCCACTAATTTCGAAGTGAGGATGGCCTAAGTCTGCTCAACAATCTTACACTTTGGCAGATATCTGGTCTAGTATTACAAAGGTACCTCAAGGATCCAATGATTTATTTGTAAAGGGTCGAACTTACAAACTCATCATTCGATTCTTTCTTCAGCTTTGCTCCAGTCTCTAATGGAGTAACAGTTACCTTACAGTTGCTCATATTGAACCTCTTCAGTATATCTTAAGCATACTTCGGTTGATGCAAGAAAACTCCTTCTTCGACGTCTTTGAATTCCATTCCCAGGAAATATGAGAGATTCCCTAAATCAGACATTTCGAATTCCTGCATTAACATTGACATTACCTTCATTATCTCAGCTTCGTCTACTCCTGTAATGAGTAAGTCATCAACATAGAGGCATAAAATGATTTGATTGACACTTTCGACATCATTTATATACACTTCATGTTCAGAGACACACTTTGTGAAACCTGCTTCGATTAGGAAGCTATCTATCCTTTTATTCCAAGCTCTAGGAGCTTGCTTCAAGCCAAAGAGAGCCTTCCTTAATCTCTAAACTTTCGAATCCTGCCCTTTGACGTCAAAGCCTAGTGGTTGAGTAACATAGACTTCTTCTTCCAATGGACCATTCAAAAATGTTGACTTTACATCAAGTTGGTGCATTTTCCATCCTCTACATGCAGCTACCGAAACAACAATCCTAATTGTTTCGATCCTCGCAACAGGTGCATATACTTCGTCGAAGTCAATACCAAGTTTTTGTAGAAAACCTCTGGCCACCAGTCTTGCCTTATACTTTGCAATCTCACCATTTGGACTTCATTTCACCTTGTAGATCCATTTCACATCGATTGGTTTCTTGTTGGTTCTTTCAACAAGCTCCCAAGTCTTGTTTTTCTCAATGGCTCTAAGTTCTTCTTTCATGGCTTCACACCAATTCAAATTGCTCAAGGCTTCACCCAAATCAATTGGTTCTGCTTCAGCCATCATCATGGCTTCTTTGATTAAGTCACCATCTGCATCGATTGCTTGATCTAGAAATCTCTCATATCCAACCAGCCTAGTCGAATCAGTTCTTGTTCTTCTGGATCTTCTTTCATTTTGCACAGGTGGTTCTTCATTTCGACTTATCGAAGCTTCATTCTCTTCATCTTCTTCAAACACAATCATGACTGTGTCTGATTCATGTCGAACTGAACTTCAACTCCAATCACATCATTTGCTTTCGTCTACAAGAACATCTCTATTGATCACTAGTTTATCTTCAATTGGTGAATACAACTTGTATGCACCAGTCAAATGATAACCTATGAGCACCATGACTTCACTTTGATCATCCAGCTTCTTTCTCAATTGTTCAGGTACATGCCTGAAACACATTGATCCAAAAATTCTAAGATGACTTACATTTGGCTTCGACCCTATTCAAGCCTCATGTGGTATCTTTTCGACCATCTTCTTTGTTGGACATCTATTTGAAATGTATACTGCTGTCGAAGTTGCTTCAGCCTAAAACCACTTAGGCATATTCTTAGCTTTCAACATATATCTCGTCGTGTTCAGTACACTTCTATTCTTTCTCTCAGCTATGCCATTATGCTGAGGCGTATAGGGTGCAATAACCTCATGCTTTATACCTTCCTCATTGCAAAATCTAGCAAATTCAGCAAAAGTATATTCACCACCACCATCAGTTCTTAACTTCTTCAATTTGCAGCCATTTTGTTTCTCAACATGCAACTTGAACTTCTTGAACTATGTGAATACCTCACTCTTCCTCTCAATAAGGTAAATCCACATATATCTGGTGAATTTATCAATGAAAGTAAGGAAGTACCTGTTACCTCCATTAGACTTTACTTCAAAGGGTCCACACACATCTGAACGAACCAGCTCCAATGTTTGCCTTGATCTTATAGGAAAATCACGTTTGAACGCCTTCCTTGCATGTTTGGCTTTGCAGCATTCCTCACATATCTGTTTTGGTTCCTTCACATAAGGCAACCCTAGCACCATTATTTTTTGATTGAGCATACATAAACTCTTGAAGTTTAGATGTCCATACCTGTGATGCCATAGCCAGTTCTTGTCTTCTTCTGTAGTTGAAGCAAGACATTTGTGATCTGATGTGTTAAGTTCAACCCTGAATGTTTTGTTCTTCGCCAATGGTGCTTTCATTATTAGCCTCCCATCAGCCCTATATACCTTCATCTGATTATTTTCCAACTTCATATTGAAGCCTTTTGCAAGTAATTGACCTACACATATCAAGTTACTTGTCATCGAAGGTACATATAGAACTCAGTGATAGTAGCCTTTCGACCATCCTTCCTGATAATCGAAATATCTCCTTTACTACCTAACTTGATATGCCTGCCATCTTTAAACTTTATCACCTTTTCGACTGATTCATCTAACTTGGTAAACCAGTTTTTATTGCCAGTCATGTGGTTGCTACATCCTGAATCCAGATACCACATGTTGTTTTTCTCAGTATTCGACTGAGTGTTCACCGGCAACAACACATCATCAGAGTCACTACTTCCAGATCATGCATATTGAGCTTCATCACTATCTTTCGACTTTGCAGCTTTCTTTCTTCGACAGTCTCTAGCATAGTGGCCAAAACCTTGACAATTGTAACATTACACCTCTTTCGTGTCAACTTTCTTCCCAAAATACTTGTTGCCTACACCTTTCGAATCAGTATTCTTGCTTGACTTCTCATCAATAGAAAGATTCTTTCGCTGCTTCGACTTCTCTTTTCCAGCTTTCTTGCTGAATCTTGATTGCAATGCTTGTTCAGCTGTATTCTCTCTTTCTGAGTTTCTCTGCTGCAACCTCATTTCGTGAGCCTTCAATGAAGCTTGAAGTTCTTCCAACTTCATGTCAGATAGATTCTTGGCCTCTTCAATTGTTACAACAGAGTAATCAAAGTCTTCAATTAAAGATCTGAATACCTTTTTTATCTTTTGCAGATCCGTTAGCGCTTCACCACACGCCTTCATCTGGTTTGTTAGCGCCACAACTCTTGAGAAATATGCAGAAATAGATTCATCCTCTTTCATCTGAAGCATCTCATACTGCTTCCTCAAAGTCTGCAACTTCGCCTTCTTCAGTTTCTCATCTCCACCATACAAGAATTTCAGCTTTTCCCAAGCTCCTTTTGCTGTTTCTTCTTCAATTATCTTCTCAAATACATCACAATCCACACACTGGTGAATCAAGAACAGCGCCTTGCCATCTTTCTTCCTCTAATCCTTGTGTGCAGCTTTCTGGGCTTCCGTAGCATCTTCATCCAATTGTGATATTCCATCATTCAAGATTTCTACGACATCTTAAAATCTGAAAATAACCTTCATTTGTGCCACCCATCGTTGATAATTTTCACCTTTAAAAACCAGTAGATTCGCTAGAAGCTGTGTTGATGTTGTTGATCTGTTTGCCATTAGATTCTCTCTGAATCGCAAACAAACTCTGAAGGTTTCAAATAAGGATAAGCATAGTTTGGTGTACCTCGTTTGGTTGGCGACTTCTTGGTCTCTATGGCTTCAGCGTAATGCTTGTATCTTCAGTAACAAAAATATTAATTTTGATGAGTGTATATTAGCAGCTAAATTCTCCTCTTGAAAGTGGCTCAGTGTAGGAACTAAAGCTTCCAACATTTGCAGTTTTTATGATTGTTCATAATGCCTTTGTATTCTTTTAAAAAGGACTAGTTTGGTTTATAAGAGGATGAGTACCCCTTGTACTCTTTGAATGAACATTGCTTCTTGAAAAGAAAAAAAATTGAAGTCATTTTTGCAAACTAACATGACTATTAGACAGATATTTAGAATCATTGACATGCTCGTACCTTTCCTAACTATGATAGCACATTCCAACTAGATAGGAGAAAATAATTATCTTGAAATAAATTAAAGTAATAACTCATACATATTCACT